TTCTAGGAGCCACGTAGAAGAAGGAATTTGACACGCAGGCTGACGGTGTTCCTCAAAAGCCGTATACTTTGGCCCCACCTACAAGAGGCTATTTTTTACTTTTTTGATATTAAAAATTTTTTTATTGCAGCTTAAGGTTGTCTTAATAAATGGCTAAAACCGATTTTCTTTCTGCGCATTTTTTGTATGAAAAAAAAATCATGAAGAACGCCTCCAAAATTGCAAAGGTGGTATCCTGCCTTAAAGGAGAAATCGAGTTCCTTCCAAACACGAGAGGCGCTCCAGCTCGGACATCGATTGTTAAGGTGTTCGTCGTGAAAGCTCAAAACAGAGCAATATTTCTTATTTTTGGAAAATGTAGAATTGCATATTCACTAGTCTCTTCAATGGTAGCAGTACAGGAATTCCTGTAACATTTCATCGGCTGATGTGTATCAGTCCGATAAGCTGTCACAGGGATCTCAGGTATCTGCTGCGGTTCCAAGAATGAGAGAATGAGTTAAATGATGTCTAATCTTTTTCTTTTTTTTTGTTTCAGATTTTACAGGCCAGAAAGTACTGAAAGCGCGTCGTCTTTGTTTTGTGGGCGTCCAGTGGGAGCTCTTCCGATTGGATTCCACTAATATGTATATATCAATGTATACCTGGACGATCAAAGCGCGATTTGAAGACACGTGGTTGTTTTATTTAGTTTTTCTTTTTTTCTTGTTTCAGATTTTACAGGCCAGAAAGTACTGAAAGCGCGTCGTCTTTGTTTTGTGGGCGTCCAGTGGGAGCTCTTCCGATTGGATTCCACTAGTATGTATATATAAATTTATATCTGGACGATTAAAGCGCGAATCGAAAACGCGTGGTTTTTTTTATTTAATTCCTTTTTTTCTTTAGGACGCACCAGGACTGAATACAATGGAGATAACTCGTCGTCGTCGTGTTCGCCTGATCCTTCTCCTCCCCAGGAGGAATTGTTGCGACCGTCAGTCTGCGAAAACGACGTGGAGATGAGCTACGATGTAGACTCGATCTTGACGTGTTGTACTTCATTGGAACCCTATATATGCGACACTCAGGGCAAGATCAATTGTTGTCCGAAATCGGTCGAGCAATGCGAAAATGTAAAGTTGACGGCTGTTCTGGAGAAGAGGACCGCGCTGTTTCCAGTGGAGCGGAGCCGGCCCGACGTTTTCGACGAGCACGAGGACGCGATAGGGAGTCGAAAGGTTTGGCACGAGTTTGCTATTGGCACGGACAAGCAACCCATTTTCCTCGTTTTCAAAATGGACACAGCCGACAACGAATTTTTTCGTACCGCCGGAGCGCGACGGTAGCGGCAAAGAAAAAGGCCTGGAGCGTCATGTTAAGGCGGTGTGCTCGGCCTTTATGCGCAACGTCATCGAGGCTGCGGCCAAGAGACTACCCGCCCACAGCGAGACGGCCAAGACGGGGTTTAAATACGTGGAGCACGACGAGGACCGTACGTACTCCGTTAATTCCAACGATTTCTCCATCTTCGCCAGGCTCGTCACAGATGCCATGCGCAACATTGACCTGCGAGAAATATGCGGCATCGTGTAAGCGCGATTTTACACGTGCGACCACGGCATGCGCACGAGAAGGCTGAGCGCTATTTGACGAATCTACTGGAAGTGACGCACGCGCACGTCGACGTCACCCAGATTCATCGCGCAAATCAATTAACATTGCGCAACAAAGACGACGAGGCGATCGTTGTCAGGCTGACGGACGACCGGTTGGCCGACGTCTTCACCCGTCAACACGTCAAGCTTGGCGACAGCAAGCTCAAATTATTTAAGATCGGCTTTGATTCCGACTACGGGCATTTCGCCTGTCTACGCTCGCCGTCGCCGAAGCCGCCGCAGTCGCCGCTGCCGACGCCCAACGTCGTTCGTCACCGACTAACTTTCGCACAGGTGTACAATTCCGCGGCGAAGATGGCCGGCATACCTACGTCCGGCGCGCTTCTTGCGTTTATTTATTCTCGCGGATACCGCGGGCTGCCGCCCGTGCAAGCTGACGACACGAGCGATGATCAGTACGCAGGCTTGAGGAAACGGAGGAACCAACTCATGCAAAGTGTACGCGACCTAATCGCGTATACGAGTAATTACGTTGAGCATCGTCCGATGTTGCGAATCGAAGAGGTACTCACGTTCGATTCCCATCGGTGCTGCTCCCACTTCGCGGGGGGCACCGAAATTCAACTTAGGGAAAAAAACGATACCATCCTGGACGAGATGAGACGTGTCGGAGTCTTTGCGAGTGATACAGTCTGCATGATCACGACCGAACTGTTGGATAGCATGCTCCTGTACCGCATGTCCGAGTGGCGCCGACATATGCACACGAGTGTCGGCAGTGAGATACGTTTTCTAAAAAAATTTCTGTTGGGCGACAGAGACGTATTCGACATGCTCGCTTGGATGATTCCTCCCGTCGTTGGGCAGTTGGTGTGCGCGCACTTTTGTTTAAATTATTTTGTGCACGGTTGGTCGCACAACTATAATTACGAAATCCAAGGACGAATGTTTGTCGGTGGCACAGAGAAGCAGAGCATACGAGGACGCAAAGTCATGGTCAGACCGATGCTGACCGACATCGCTGAGGAGCAGCGGAATGAAATGCTCTTCCCGTTCTATGATAAGAAATATAAACCCGAAGAACTCGACGCTTTCAAGCATATTGCATTCGTCGGCCATGTTATATGGCATAGGTGCAACGTGGCCGCTGCCGTCACCGACCAGGAGCGTTTTGCGGAGGAAGCCATCAAATTTCTGACCACCTGCTGCGCCACGTGGGTGCACAAAAGATTGTTGAATCGAAAACTGACCGCCAACAACATCGCTATCGTGGAATGGGCGTATAACAATTACGAAGATGCATTCTCCGTCAACGCTCTTATACGCCGGTCGAGATCGCGGCTGACGTTGGGCAAAATAATTGTCGCCAACACCACTGTCAACGCCGAAACTATAGTTACGGCTATGTTTCAGGAGCCCAACACTCCATTCTGCGCGATCGCTCGACTGTGCGTCAACTGTGGCATCAACGAGCAATCCTTTATCGAGAGATTGACTCATTTCGTGCGCCAAAATTTTCAAGTCTTCCCACAGATGCTGATGGCCAAGTGCCGCGGCGAGGACGCGATCAAGTGGAGCGTAGTTGAGAAGGAGGAGGGCGGCGTTACAAAGCGGAATTACGCGACAGGATTGCAGTCGCGAGAGGAACGCGACGAGATCGACGCAGTCGACGACCAGCTGCATCGCGACAAAACGCCCCCCTCCCAAACGCGTCCCCACCGCCGTCGGCAGGCCATCTAGAGGAGGCGCCGTCATCGCCGGAGTCGGAACAGGAGGCACTATCTTCTCCGGACCTCGGGACCGCGGCACGCTCGGTCCTTAGACGGCTTCTCGCCATGCGCGCGTGTACCCCACGGCCGTCGAATCACGTGGACGACCTAGCGTCGCGACGTAGGGTGGGACGACCAGTGAAGAGGCGTTCGGGTCGAAAGCCGGCTAAGGTACCTGCCAAAAAAAATACGACAGCGGCAGCCGCCGCCAACGCAGTCCCTACGCTTCCGTCGCCACCATCACCGGTACCCCTAGCCAACTTGAAGTGCCACGGCGTCGTTCTCGTTCCGCGCATCATTGTTCCTCCCATTGATAAATACCTCGGTGAACAGGTATCCAGCGGCGGAGTGCTAAACGCATCGAAAGTGGAGAGAGCGCTGGAGAATGTTGAGACCCGACGTCGCAGCGAGGCGGGAGAGGAGCGCCAACCACCACCATCACCATCAATCACGATTGACATTTTGGTCGCCTTGCAGCGGCGCGGCATCGTAGTCGTTCCACGCCGCCGAATCGACAATCTCACGGGCGTCTCCGGTCGCGGTGCGTCCACACCGGTCATGGAAATGCCGCGTCGTTCGATACAACGACAACGACGACAACTCGTTTCAGGACAACGGCGCGTGACGAGGTCCATGAGTATTGCGTCAAGGCTCAGCCAAGTACATTTGATACCGCGCGTCACGTGCATTGACGCGCTTGACGTTGAGGTCGTCGCAGACGGATCTCTCAGCGCGTCCGCATTCGAGAGGGCCCTTGAACTAGAGGAGGAGGCGAGACGCGATTCAGTGCCGCGCGTTTCATTGAATTATACGTCAATAATCGACTTGATGATGCCCGTCAATTCTGCAGAGGTAGCACGGCGGCGCGCGTCGTTGCGCTCAGCGTCGCGGGGCGTGCGCAAGTAATTATTTTTACTTTATACTGTTTTTGTCAGTCTACTTTATTTTTTTTCATTGCATATGTCTGCGTCTTTTTTTTCGTTTATCTGCGTTTACGTACATTTATTTGTATTTCTTTTTTTAGCGTTTAATCTTTTATAGAGCGTTTTTTTTAATTCTGTAGATCCTTATTTCTGTGTTGATCTGCGTTTATTTATTTTTAGTTTTCAGGATATTTTTTTTTTTCATTGCATGTGTCTGCGTTTTTTTCCGTTTATTTGCGTTTGTCTGCGTTCATTTATTTCTAGTTTTGTTCTCAGCGTTTTTTGGTCTGTAGATCCCTATTTATGTGTTAATCTGCGTTTATTTAATTTTAGTTTTCATAATTTTTTTTTTATTGCATGTGTCCGCGTTTTTTTTCGTTTTTATGCGTTTGTCTGCGTTTATTTATTTCTAGTTTTGTTCTCAGCGTTTTTTCTTTCTTATTGCGTTTCTTTTGTTTATAGATTCCTTTATCGTCCGTAATTTTGTTTTATGGTGTTTTGTAAAAAGGACGAGGTCTACCGCGGCGAGTTTTGTCGCGCACCAACAAAAAAATAAAAAAAAATAAAAAAAATTGCCCTTAAAAAATGCCCTTTTCAGGGCCACATCCCGTTGATCTGTGGCCGCCACCTTGATGTGGTGACGGGGCTTACGCGCGTGTCTTTTCGGAGACACGCGCTAACCAAGAGCGGCCAAATAAATACTTTGTCTAGTTTTACCAAACAGTTTTTGTTATTGACTTAATGCTCTTGTCCTTCTGGTCATCTTTGATGATTTCCAATTTTCCTTTTTTATTTTCGGGGGGAGCTTCGCCCGACAGTGTAATCCTGTCGACGTTTTGACTTAAATACCTGAAACAGAATATAACTTCTGTTATTATTGTTACAACATATTTGTAGACTTACCATTGCTGAATGATAGACTCTCTTGTTGAGCGATCGACATCCGTCCTGGAATTGCCTGGAATACCTGAAACAGAAGAAAACATTAGTAAAATTATTACAACGTATTGTCATACTCACCATTGTTGGATGATAGACTCTCTTGTTGAGCGATCGACATCCGTCCTGAAATTGCCTGGGATACCTGAAACAGAAGATAAAGTAATATTAGTGAAGAAACAAAAAATACATTATTTTGTTTTATACTTACCTTATTGAACCGGAGGGTTGTCGACTTGTATAAATTCTGATGACTTCTTTTCTGATTCCAATTTTATGAGTTTTGCCACAATTTTCATTTACTTTACATACGTTTCAACCGATCCAGTTTTGGTTGACAACCTCAGGCAAAGTTATGAGATAATAATACACAAACAACCGCAATATTTTCTACTTAGCATATTTAGTTGCGAGGATAGTATCTTCGCGTTGGTGATTCACAATTGATCAAGGAAAACAGGTTCCTGAAAAGAGAGACAGATAGTTATCAACTGCAACATATAATTTTTTTTTACTTACCTTTGGTTTTAGACATGTTCATTCATGTTTACCTTTATTCAAATCAAGTCTTATGTGTGTCTGCGACCGTGATTGTTGTCATGGTCGTTTTTAACGATTTCAAATTTTTTTTTTTTGGGGGAGGGGCTTTGCTCTCCCCAATTCCCCTTGACCAAGGGGCTTCGCCCCCTGGACCCCCAAAACTTCTTGACCCAGGTTACGCGTGATGACTGCGCAAATTGCAATTTTATTTTATTTCCAAAATATTTTTTATTTTTACTTTTTTTATTTAGTTATGAATAGTTCGGATTTTTTTGTTGCCCTCATTTTTTTCGACTTTTTGAGGGGGTTGGAACTTAGAAAATTTTCCAAAAAAAATAAAAAATTCTAAACATTCCCGGACCTACACTTCCTTATAGTACTCGACGAGAGGAACAAGAAAGGTCCTCTTCACCATGCCCCTATCTGTCTTCGTTTCACTAGTAATCGTCATTTTTGGATTCGGGAAACAAAAAACCAATTAGATCAGCTAAACGGTTGGAGATAGGGGCATGATGAAGAGGACCTTTTTTGTTCCTCTCGACGAGTTCTATAAGGAAAATTGCGACCTGTCCAAAATTCTAAAAAATTGAAATTTAAAATCCAAAAAGAAAATTTTTCAATTTTGAGACCTACTTATCCTTATAGTACTCGACGAGACAAACACAAAAGGTCCTGTGCACCGAGCCTCTATCTCTAACGGTTTAGTCAGGAGAGCAACTTTTTCATCTTTGAAGACACAAAATGAATTAGAACGGCCAAATTCTTTATTTATTACCTCAAAGACCTATATGGCGATGAAAGAGGAAGTCGTCCTCTATCTAAAAAAATTGCGATCGGCGATTTGATACCCAGCAGAATCCTATAACCCTTTTTTTTGCGTAGGAGGAGAAAAATCTTCGCCAAGACCCGCACCAAGGAGCGACGATTCCCGCCTAGCCTAACCTCCGCGGTGGCGGCCCAGCGGTTTCCCGCCTAGCCTAACCCCCGCGGCGGCGGCCCAGCCGTCCTCGTCCCACCATGGGAGGCAAGACACCCACGGCCCGGTACCGTGGCGTGTGACCGATTCCATGCGGGATACATCGCGGAAGATACTATCCCGCATGGCCTACGGCCTAAAAAGACTCCCCCTTCTCCAGCACCCTCTCTCCTGTGATGAGGAGGGCACCCGGTACGCAGGTATGCATTCGACAGGGGCCCCCCCCAGGATGTGGAGCCTACACTCCCCCCCTCTGATCCGGCGTTTTCTCTGACGATGAGCCTGCACTCCCCTCTCCAACCCAATCTATCTACCCCTTCCTTGCTCGCGTCATGGAGGCGGATTCCTCTCTCTGAGGCGTTCGGCCTCCTCTTTCGCGCGCATGACTCTCTCGCAGTAGTGTGTAAAACTGCCCCACTTTTCCTTGCTGGACAAGGCGGCCCCAAGAACCGAGCCAAGCCTCAGATCTTCACCTACCCTGTTCCTCAGGTCTCGTCTTTCTTCCACCCACGCTGGGCACTCTTCCAGGGTGTGTTGGGCCGTGTCCTCCGCCCCCTCGCAATGCGAGCAGGCAGGCGACGCGGCCCTTTCTATCCAATAAAGGTATGCACCAAAGCAACCGTGCCCCGTCACTATTTGCGTAACCCGGAACGTAAGGCCGCCATGTCCCCGGTTTATCCAATCAACGAGTCTCGGGACCAGGGCCTCGCGCACCCTGGCTCCCGATGCCGCACGGGGGAGGGCCTCCAGCCTCGCTCCGCCACCGCCACCTCATGCTCTCGCCTACGGAGCGCCAGCGCCGCTCTCTCCGTGTGGGCCAGTCCCGTCGCTCTCGCCTCTCTCACCTCTCGCATCCGCCGGTAAAGCCGCCAGTATCTCCCCGCCAGGATGTCGAACGGGACAATCCCGGCGAGGAGCCCGGCGGCCTCGAGCGACACCGTTCTATACGCGGCGATCACGCGCAGCGCCACTCTACGTTGGAGGCGTCCAAGGTCTCCGCACAGCCTCTTATTCGCTGCCACCGCCGGCGCCCACACCGGGGCTCTATACAAAATGGCCGAGTGAATGACTCCGGCGTACAATCGCCTTCGTCGCTCACCCGGACCTCGCAAATTCGGCATGAGCCGCACTATCGCCATTGCCATCTTTTCCACCCTAGGCAGAAGCTCCCTAAAGTGGGTGTCGAAAGTCCATCCCGGGTCTATAACCAGTCCCAGATACTTAAGCCTATTCCCGACGGGTACCCGGATCCCCGCAGCCTCTACGCTATCGCGCACGGGTTCGTTCCACGCGTCGACGAAGGATATTATTTGTGTCTTTTGCGGGGAGGCACGAAGCCCCAATCGCTGGAACTCCCGAATTAACGCGGCTACGCCCATCTCCGCCCTCGCGCGGGCCTCGCGCTCACTGTTCGCTCTTACTATCAGGGCTGTGTCATCCGCGTAGCAAATGACCGAGTACCTCGGTGAAAGCACCAGCTCTAATATCGAGTTAAAGGCCAGGATCCACAGGATTGGCCCTAGAAACCCTGCGGTACCCCGGCCGTCATACGGACCCTATGAAGGGTCCCGTCTTTGTCCACGTACTTTAGCCACCTATCTTCCAGATAGCTGTACAGGATCCTCACCAGATACTCAGGTACCCCCTTTTCCACCAGGGCGCCCCTGATCACCGCCCAAGGGAGGGAGTTGAAGGCGTTGGCGATGTCGAAGCTGATCACGAGGACCACTCCTCCATTCCCAACGCCCCCATCAACCAACTCCCGCATTTGCAGTATGGCGTCTATCGTGGAGCGACCCCTCCTGAATCCAAATTGGTCGGGGGACAGAGCCCCCGACGTCTCCAGACATCGGGTGAGTCTCTCCACGATGACCCTTTCTAGCAGCTTACCTGCCTTACTGAGCAGGCATATCGGCCTGTACGAGGACGGCACCCCCTCCGGCTTGCTCTCCTTCTTAAGCAGCACCAGGCGCGCTTCCTTCCACGCCTCCGGGAAGACCCCCTCCCGCAGGCACGATGTGAAGCATCCCGCCCATTGGGGGAGGAGGTCCTCCAGCGTCCCGATGACAACGATGTTTGACACTCCGTCCGGTCCTGGCGCCTTCCTGGCCCTGCTGATCTTCTTGGAAGCCTCCCTTACCTCGACCGTCGTGACTTCCCATTCCTCTCTCCACGCGAGCTCCCGCCGCTCCCCTCGCTCCGTCGGGTGCGCTGGGAATAGCGAGTTCACTATCCTGCCGATGTCCCGGCCACTCATCGTCTCGCACACCGGGGGCCCCAGAGGTCGGAGGCGCCGCATGATAATCCGATACGGACGCCCCCAGGGGTCCGCATCGATAGTGCCCAACAGCTCCTCCCAGACTGCCGCCTTTGACTTTATGATGGCTCTCTTAAGCGCTCTTCTCGCGCTGGTGCCGCCGCTTCCGCGACCGCCCCCGGCGCGGCTCTGGCCCTCGCCCTCATCGCTCGTCTCCTACACCTTACGAACTGCCTTCTCAGCTCTTCTATCTCGCCGTTCCACCAATATACAGAGGGCCTGGTGGTTTCCCTCACCCTCGGCATGGCTACGTCCGAGGCCACCCGAAGGGTCTCGTCGAGCCACTCCGCATCCGCAAGCGCCGGCCCTCCCAGGCCGTTCGGGGTGCTCCACACCCTCGCCATGACCGCCGCGCGCAGCTTATCTCCATCTAAATGTCCCAGGTTCCATCTGGGGAAGGCCCTTGCCCCGCCGGTGCTTTGCGAGCTCATCGTCGTTCCAAGCCCGATCATCACGTTGCGGTGATCCGACAGTGTCACCGTCTCCTCGTCCACCCACCAGCTTCGCACTAGCCTCGCCGCCGCGGGGGTCGCCCACGAGATGTCCACCACCGAGTTACCCCGCGGATGAACGCACGTGGGGGTTACTCTCTCGTTAAGGAGCACCAGTCCCCTCATCCGCCCATGCCGCGAGCATCGCCCCCCTTGCATCCGAGAGCCTCCCATCCCATCTGGGAGAGTGGACGTTGAAATCGCCCAGAAGAAGAACCGGCTCCCGCGCATACCTCGCCAGAACTCCGCTCAACCGGTCGAGATAGTCGGCGAAGTATCTCCGCTGGCGCCTCGGCGAGCAGTACACTCCGATCACCATGATCTCCCCCCAACGGGCCACCGCGTATCCGTCTCCCTGTTCCAGCGGCACCCTCGCCACTCTACCATGTGCTCCCTGCCACGTAATCGCAACAGTAGTGGATCCTTGGTTGACCTGACCCATCTGGGGTCGTCCGGAACCCTGTATGGCTCCGAGACAACCGCCAGACTCGCGCCCTTCTCCTCCATGGTCTTTTGGAGGATATCCTGCGCGACTCCGGAGTGATTGACGTTAATTTGGATCAGCGTCGCCATCTCTGTCCCTCATTTCCACCTCTGGGGAGGCGGTCCTCCGCACCGCCTCGTCTCGCCCGCTCCTTAAGCTTCCCGGAGGGACCGGCGGGCACACCTCGCTACCCGCTCTGTGATTCGCATCCATGCCCCAATCGGCGCGCACCGGGCACCGCAGCGGGGCGCTGCACTCCCCTGCCCTGTGGCCGCTCTTCCCACAGCCGCAACACAAGTCACTTCTGTCCCGCTGCGATGGGCACCGCTCTCTAACGTGCCCTACCGCCAAGCAGCGGAAACACTGGAGCGGCCTCTTTTTCATCACCTCAACCTTCACCATCGTCCAACCCACGCGCACCCTGGGGGTCTTCATCACTCTAACGGCACACTCCAGCGGGCATTGGACCATGGCCATCCAGAGGCCGTTCCTTTGGGATCTTCGGCTGATCACTCGAACGTCCCTCTCCTGGGCCTCCCCTATCTGGGAGATGACCCGTCTTATTTCCTCGGGGGTCCCCAGATCGTCCAGGTTCGTGAGACGAAGTTCGGCTTTTCTGGATGGCCTAGCCACCTTCACTCCCTCCTCTGGTAATATCTTCTTCAGCCGTAGCGCCAACCGGTCGGCCTTCTCCCTCATGTCCTTCCCCGGGATTTCTACTATGAGGCCCCCAGTGGCCCCCCGCCTAACTTTCGTCTCTGGGATGCCGAGCGTCTCCAGGGACACCTCCTCCCTCGCCTTGCTCAAGATCTCCGAGTATGACAGGCCGCTCCCCGTGTTCGTTATTACAACCGCAGTTCACGGCACCCGTTTTCGCAGCTTAGTTAGTTCCGGGTTCCCGGCTCTTTCCACCGCCTCGCTCGTCTTTCTCGGCGCTGCGGGTCCTCTCGACCTAGGCCCCTCGTCCTCCGTTGTCACCCGGCTCTCCCCTCTCTTCTTCCCTCTCCCCGTCTTCCTACCGACCACCCTGTTCCATCCCTGCTCTTCGGCCGGGGCAGCCGGGGGCGGCACCGGTGGCATCCCGGTTTCTCTCCCTCCTCCACTTCTCCCTCCGTCCCGACGAATCCGCCCGGGCTCCTCCGCTTTCGGCTGTCCTCTCAGTCGGCTCACCGGGGGCGCAGGCCCCGCCCCGCTTTTCATATCTCCAGCAACAGTCTCTTCCCTGCTAGAGGAGCTAAGCGTGCGCACTCTCTTCCTCTTTACTGCTCCTTTAGATCTTTTCTGTGGGTGGCCCTGGAGATTGGGGGAACTATCCAATCTACCTTTTCCCTTCACCTCCTCCTCCTCCCTGCCGTCCGTCCGGCGCGAGCGCGTTCCCTCTTTCCAGGGGGTCTTTTCCTCCACTGAATGAAAAACATCCTCTTCCTCCGCCGTCTCCGCTCTCCCGCTTGCTCGTGGAGTCGCAGGTACATCCCTCAATGTCCTCTCCTTTGGCGCCCTCTCCGCCGCCTCCAATTCCTTCCTGAGTGTCCGTACTTCGCTCTCAAGGCGGTCGCACCTCTCCCTCAGCTCCTCAATCTCTCTTTCCTTTGCCGTCGGTTGCGCCGTTCTAGTGGCCATTTCGTAGACGGCAAATCTCGCCGCATGTAGCCCTACCAGTATCTTGTGGATGAGGTCTCCTTTGATGTTCGTGGACCTTTTCCGCGCCGCTTCCGTTTCCGCCAAGACCCTGCACATCCGGGCTGCTATTTCTCTATTGGTTAAAGATTCAAATTTGTGCACCACTTCCTCAACTGCGTCTTTTTGCTGTGCGGTGAGGTCTGTCTCCTCCCGGTCCTCAAGCCGCCTTTTCTTACTCCCACCTGCCGCACAGTGGGACGAAGTATAGTAAAAAAAAATGTGCAAGACTGTCTGTGTTTTTGCTAATTGGATCGTAATTAGAAACAATTATACTTTATTTCTATATAAAGTTCAGGTGCCAGTAGGTGCCTGTTTACGAAATGCGATTTTTTAAATACAGGGTGTCTCAAACTCAATGGTACAGCGCTTGTGGGGACATAGTGTGGACCAAACTGAACAAAAAGTCCTCTACCACTTTGCAATCTTTGCAATAGTTATCGAGATACTAATAATTAAAAAAAAATTTACGCCAAGTATATACAAGTATATCGTACATTAGGTACATCTTATCTAAACCAAAAATATTATTTTAACAAATAAAAGTTGTCCAAAAACAAATATGAGATCATACAAATGGCCAAATATTTGATTAGACATAGAGACAAAAATATTTTTTTAATAAATCGCTTAAATTATTCAAAATTATATGCAGCATACGTTTAATGTTATTGTCTTTTCAAATAACTTTAAGTTTCGTAAAACAGACTTAAAGTTATTAAAATGATCAATAGAATTATAGTAAAGCAAAAACTTGGCCATTATGTAAAATTTTTTAAAATGATTAGTATCTCGATAACTATTGCGAAGATCGCAAAACGGTAGAGGATTTTTTTGTTCAGTTTGGTCCACACTACCTCCCCACAAGCGCTGTACCATTGAGTATGAGACACTCTGTATATAGATCTTGTGATAATCTTTCCACGCGATTATCTCTTGAAATATTTGTTATTCGAAAAAATATTTTAGATTAAAGTTATATGATCTGAAGGAGATCAAATAAGGTATATTTTAGGAATCTTAAATTCTTAATTGAACCATATGTTGTTTTTTTTATACGAATATTTGAAATGTTCTATTGTATTCTTGTCATTGATTATTTAGATACATTGACACAATATGAGCACAAACATTCTTTCAGCTTAGTTCTGTGTATGGCCGCGTTCGGGCATAGCGTTATCAGTATTGAAAACACGCTCCCCGTAACCTATGTTGTGTGTTGTTAATCTATCCCCTCCACATATATGGTGTGCTACGAGTGTCTGTTGTTTGGCCTTTTACTGCCTGACGCCCGCGCTCGTTACTGAGACACAAGCGACAAGAGTCAGTATCTATCGAGAGAGTCTGACAAAAAATTAGCATAACAACTATATCTGGATACATTCTTTAGTTTCGTAATATTCATTTACT